TTCCAGTCTTGCTGTCCATGTTCCGTTTGGACTTTTCAGCTTATTCCCTGGACTCCATCTTGTTCTTCTTCCTTTTAATTCTTTTTTTTAATTCTTTACTTGATTGCCAGGCTGACCTTTCAGAGTGACAACATTTACCTCTTCATGGTCCATTCTCTTTCTTCATGTTTTTGTAATTATGTTTTTACTAGCAGATGTTAATTATGTATACTAATTGGTTTAATTAGTCATTTTCATGTACATACATTTCCATATATGTTATTATGAACATACAATTTTGTTTGTTCCACTCCTGATGCCCCCCCTTTCCTTTTCCTTCATTTCTCCCTCTCTCTATCATCTCTTTCATTTGATGATCTAATGAATTTCATTAGGGTTGCTTACAGAATCCTGAGTGAGGGATTATTTACAGCAGCATGGATTCCTTAAATTCCTTATCCAAACTGCACAACCTAAGAAAATATCCCTGTCTACCCCTGGGACCATTAACTGCCTAGAGATACTCAGGAAGCACAAGACCTCATGTACCCCTTTCTCTTAGCTGTCATGATCCATTTTCATCTCCTAGAACCTGAACTCTCTTCCATCTGTCTTTCTCAGACACCAATCACGTGTGCACTTTTGGCCGGTCTTATGCTAAACAGAGGAAATGGATGCCTATGCTACTTGGGTAATTTACTCATGACTTGTCACATGTATGCAACCTGTCTGTTCACACCCTTTCTTCCCTTCGCCCGAGCTTTGCCTCTGTCAGCTCAGCTCATCCCAAACCACATGGGTTTTTCCTTTTGCAGTTATATGTAATGCCTTTTCTCCTCCATGAGAGCCCTTCAAACAGTGGAAGAGCGCTCTGCCATATTTCCTGTAAGCTTCTGTCATCTCTTCCTTACATGAGAAATGACTTGACTGTATGTATTATATGTGTGTGTGTGTGTAAGTGTCCTTCTGAGTGTGTATGCAAGTGTGTATGGAGGCTGGAGACTGAAGTCAGGTTAGTTCTTCTTCATTTACTCTCCACCTTATCCTTGGAGATGGCGCCTCTCCCTAGATAGCGCCTCTCCCTGGCCTGGAGCTCATTTACTCAGAGGCAAAGTTCAGAAATCTGCCTGTTTCTCTCTCTCCAGTTCTGGGACTACAGATTCAGTGCCCAGCGTTTTAAGTAAGTGCTGGCGATCCAAACTGAAGCCTTTGTGTTTGGATGGCAAGAGCCCTGATCTCTCCAGCCCTGACGTTGCCTCTTCTAAGGTGTGATGTTGAGAGATGAGCAGATCGACTTGCACTTGCTTTCGTTATTTCAAATGTTGTAACCTCTGTGTATCTACCATCGTGATATCACTTCATTCCCTTGGAACTTATCAACGTCTAGTATAAAATATACGGACAAATATTTATTCATACATATATTGTCATCAAAACACTTATCAACCTTTGTTCTAGAGACTGCAAAATAATCTCTCATGGTGAAATTAAATGAGAATCTGTATAATCAGTTCTTCTTGCTGAAATTACTGTCACTAACTTTTCCACTGTAAACTCACATAGATGAAAACTCTCGAGCCCCAAACTCTGCTAACTGGCCCTGTAACATAAGCTTAAAATTATACAGCTTGTAAACAAGCAGATAGCTCACACATACAATGGCAAAGGCTATGTGCTGATTTTGTTTTATGGGTTTTATTTAACTATAGTGCAGAACATTAAAATCCATTTTGATTAACTGCAAAAGCCATCACTTGTTGAACGTTTAATCTCTGCTGAGCACCATGAGTGGCATTTTATTTGACTCCATTAATTTTTATAATAAAACCAAGATTAAGGTATTATTACCACCTTGTGTAAGAAACTGAGGCTTGAAGAACTTAAACAGTCTCCCCAGGACCTCCCTAACTAGTGTGGATGGATTCCCAATGCCTACTGAGCCTATTCCATTCTGAAACCTAGAGTTTTAAATATTAGGCCACATTCCTACCAAAGCTTTAGAAAAATGAACGAGTGAGTGGTTTAATGACCCCACAGTACTGTACCCACTACTTAGGTTCTTTTTATCCACCTTTTAGGAGGCCTAGAAACGAGTTTCTATGTAAATAAGAGAAGGTTGCTCTGTCTGTGCAAGTGCGGCCAGGACTCTAGTACCTGTAATGCAGATATTATGCTGTGGTCCCCAGCCGCCAGTCAAAAAATATTGTAACCTTCTAAACTGTAAAGTGAGCATTTGGCTTTGTGCCTTTGGGCTCCGTGTTATATTTCCAATTAAAAGTCAAAAACTATAATCAGGATTTTTATGCTGATAATAAACTAACTGAAAGCAACAATCACACTTGTGAGGATATGGGTGCTAAAATTTGTTGAATGTTAGTGTCTTCAATTACACAAAATAGTCTGAATGTATTCTTTCCATGTACCAGAGACCAAACAGGTGGGCAATGCTATTCCTGTTTTGTAGGTCATAGAGATGAAACTCTGGCTTTTCAGTAGTCTCTATAAGTTCATACAAGCTACCCAGTGTATGTGTTTATCTTCCAAGTAGCCAGGGATGACTCAAATTGCCCTGCTTTTCTTGTCTCTCCTACCATTCTTGAGCCACATTCCTTTGGAGAACCTATTATTTTAATGTGTTTGGATCTATTTCCCTAATTTATGTGGTTGATCAAGCACATCATTTTCTCTCTTGATATGTCCCAATACTAAGGTGGTCTGGGCATGGCTTGTGGTTTCTATTATATAGTCTTACTTCTTACTGGCTAGGGCTGGATGCAAAAGCAATCATTTTCTGGCTTCTGCAGAATTAAAAGTCATTAGTCCAGATATATCACCTGGACTACTTAAAACTCAGTGAGATTGTTAGCAATTTTCAACATAGTTGAAACCCTAAGTCGTTGCCAACACGTCTTTGAGTCAGTTCTATGAGTTAACCTAGAAAGCCCTGATCCAGGTCAAGTGTGATGGATGATGTATGCCTGTAATTTCAGCATTTGGGAGGTGGAGGTCAAGAGTTCAAGGCCAGCTTGAGACACACGAAGTCTTGTTTTAAACAAACCAGGTTGTCTACTTTCTCTGAGCTGTAGGAATTAGGGGATGGACTAGCCAAGAAACTGTGGCTATTTTATTTATTCTTATTTTCTTGTCATTTGAAATCGTTAACTCTCCTTCTCTGATTCTCATTCAAACCACCTTGCTTTGCTTCTCCTCCCATCCTATCTCTAGAACTCTGCCTGAGTGTGCTTTTCTGACACCTAGCATGCCCCTCTTCTTTGCTCCCAAGGAAAGATGGAACATTGTTTAAAAACCATATCAGAACTGGATGAGCGTAGATGTGACTGGGCTTGATTGGACATCCATTCATCTGGCTGAATATGAAGCCATCAGATGACAGAAGAAAAAGCACCAGACAGTAAAGAGGAATGGAAACTCAGGAAAACTGAGACTTATGGGAAAGATGTGGATGGCATCACAATCTGACCTTACAAATCCATTGGGTATCTGCTAAGTCCTGTTTCTAGAACATCCCATCTGCATACAGGTGTCCAGTCCTATGTCTAGAAACCAGAGAACTCTCTGCTTGTGCATGAAATAAATGAAGGCAAAAATGATCAAGTCTCAGCTTAAATTCCTGCTCTATCTTATCCTGGTTGGCTGACCTTGAGCTTATTAGGGCCTCAAACTCTGTGTTTATCTGTACTGTAGAAAATAACACTTCCAGAGTGAGGAGAAGTGCATATCATGCACAGAATATATAAAAAGGGATTTTTAAAAATAGGATTTTATGTAGCTTTGGCTGTCCTGGACCTCTTTGTTTAGGCCTTATTGACCTTGAACTCACAGAGAAACGTGCCTGCTTCTGCCCCTTGTGCCCCTTGACTGTATGTACTACCACACCCAGATAAAAAAGATCATTGAATGAACTGAGAGAATCTGGCAGACTTTTTTAATCAAACATTGAATGAAATTTTAAAAATTTTCTTATTAGTATTACTTATCTAATAATGTGTGTGTGTGTGTAAACTCATGCATGTGGAGGTCAGGAAACAACTCACAGGAGTTGGTTTTCACCGTCTACCAGGTAGTTCCTTGAGGCTGAACTCAGTGTCAGTCTTGATGGCAAATATCTTTACCTGTTGAGCTATTTGCTGGCTCTAATTTTTATTTTTGTTTTTTTTAAAGGAACAAGATGTACAGGGCTTTTGAGGCAAACAAAACAACTTGAAGCTTAGCATTGTCGCTATCAATACCTGCTGTGTAATCGGCATTACCTCTGCGTATCAAGCACACCATCTGTGACATGGAATAACATGCACGCCCCTGGCAAGAGTACCTAAGGTGGTTCATTTGAATGCATCTGTAAGTGGGAATTGCATCACTCTTGTCAAACTGCTTGAGCTACGCTATGCAAAAGAGAACTGTATACTCTCCAAGTCCAGGCAGTTCTTGGTTTTCACTTTTATTAACAATGTTTGATGCCCATGAGATGAATTGCTGTCAACTTCTATTTAAATCAACAACATTCCCCCACCTTAGTTTTTACTCACCTATTTATAAGTTGCTATTTATAAGACAGTTATCTACTTCAATAAGAAGAAGAAGCAAATGGCTAAAGAACACACACACACACACACACACACACACACAGAGAGAGAGAGAGAGAGAGAGAGAGAGAGAGAGAGAGAGAAGGGCAAAATACAGAATGTAAAAACACAACAATCTCCACTATCAACATTTGAATGTATTCTATATTGGGCAACAGTTGGACTCTGAAGTCCCATTTTGCTTCTAGATTCTTGTTAGATAGGTAGGAATCCTGAAAAAGTGGTTTGGGAGGAGATAGTGACTGTGGAGCCCAGTCACGTACTTCAGTGTTTTGGGGATGAGAGCCAAGATCTCAGCTATTCAGCAGCAGGAGAGAGAAAGAAAGAGGGAAGAAAGGAGGAGAGAGAGAGAGAGAGAGAGAGAGAGAGAGAGAGAGAGAGAGGGAGGAAGGGAGGTCGTCATGAGGAAGTCCTTACCGTAGCATCTTCCCCAGCATAGTGGTTGAGGACCCGACGCCCACCTGGATGCTTGCCTGCCCAGTCAGTCACGTTGTAAACCTTGCGATCAATCACCAGCCACTGGTCGGTCTCCTTATTGTGTCTCTGGATCTCCTGCCAGGTGTACAGGTTGAGACATTTCCTGAGCCCGTCGCCCTTGCCATTTGCTTCCTGCTGTTCACAGACCTCTGCTTTCCCATTTGCTCTCGGTTTCCCATTCGCCTGATGCGTGTCATGTAGACATGGCTGACTCCGTCTAACAGGGCTCTCAGTGTGCTCAAGTTTCTCCTCCAACCTCATCGTCCCTGAATCCCTGAGAGTTTCCTACTTCTATAATTGGGCCATAAAATGACTCCTTGCCTCCTCTTTCATTCCTCTGTGGTCCTGATGTCTACACAGAAAGCCTTCTGGCTAAATTTTCTCGTCAGAGTCTGACAGCGAGCACCTGCCCTGCCTGGTCCTGTTTCGGTCTGTAGTTAATCTTTTCTGCACGAGGACAGCTAGATCACATTTCCCTAGTCACCTCTCTTCTGCTGGCTGGAGCTGCATCCTCCTTCATCATTAAATATCCCAGAGTACAGAGCCCGAGCCAATTGCTGTCTGGATGGTTAGAGGCCACACCGAGTAGGAGGAGGGGCTAAGATCTGGGCTTTGATTTTCTAGTGACATCATCGTGGGTTGGGTCTACCTGTTCTCTGGAACACCTCCAACTAACGACCTTTAGATTTGTAAATTCAACATGTGAACAAAGGCTTTCAGAATTTCCTGGATGACTAGAATAGCTGTTGCTTGGATTAGGTGAATTATCTTTGGACAGCTGTCACCTCACCCAAAGGCTTTCAAATACGTTTAAATCCCACCCACTCCCCCCCCTTTTTTTTTTAAAAAAAGTGTCATTTTCAAAAGGGGAAAAAACCTAAGTGAATGATGTAAATTACTCCCCCATTCGATTTCACTTCTTTAAACATTTTTCTGAATCTACAAACACCTCTTAAGGCTGCATGAGTGACACGTGGTGATCTGGAGTCCCTGACACCTGTTTCATCCCTTAATCCTCGCATCCGTGCTTGTCCGGTGAGGCCTGTTAGTGCCCCATTTTCCAGCTTAGAAAACTAAGGGCAGGTAGTCCAGGTAACCTATCATCATGTCATAGCCACCCCATGAGATGTCATCTGTCTTTTCCTCTTCTGCCCACATATGAATTTTAGATTTGCAGCAGCGAAATGAGATGGTTTGGAAACAAAGCAGGAGAGGAGATTCCCAAGTGATGATGGGAAGCTTCTGAATCTTGAGAAAACAAGCTGCCCAGAACTACAGCAAAGGCACACACTTGAGAAACTGAAATGAATCTTCAACACAATTCAAAATTGCTACAAAAGGAGTTCATTGTAGTGATATTTGCAGCTGCTAGAAGCGGTCTCAAAGCTCAGCTCTAAGGAAGAGGCTTGCGTCTGTTTTACATGTTGAATAAGATGTTAATATTTTAAAATAAAACTTCACAGAATTTTTTGTTGGTAGGCACTCCTGACTGCAGTACTATTAATAGAAAAAAAAAAGGTATTCAACAAATTGTACTTTAAAGAAATTTCCTGCAGAAAAAAGATGCTAAGTAAGTCATATCTACTGGATACTTTCTAATGGGAAGGAGGTAGATCAAAGTGTTGGCCTTTATCTTTGAGTTGCACACATATGTGCGGTTATGCTTTACAGTTTCATGGTACTTTCCAAATTTTGACAAATTAACAGATGGCTTTTATTATAACTTTGGAATTAAAAATTTTTTAAAAGGAACCAAAAAATAATGCATAGACTTGGACACTAAATAGAATAATATTTCATCTCCACCATTTACTAGTTATGGGACATTCCTTAAATTACACCTTTGCATTCTAGTTTTCCACCTATAAATGAAAGGAAAAGCATATTTCTCATGACTTTATTAAATTAACACCATAAATTCTCATAGTTTTTATGATTTCTGAATGGAGGTTTCCTAAACACAGCAAATGTTCCTGTGTGGACATTCATAGATCATATGTATAAATTCAGAAAAACTCAAGAAGTTTAGTATTAGAGAAGTGTGGAACAACAGTCAGCTTAGGGCATAGGGTGAGGTAGGTCAGATCTGCAGGGGAGTAGGTTGGTGCATTCCATGAGCTGGACAAAGTGTTGTTTTTACCATATCATGCCATGCAGACAAACCACAAAATAAGATACCTAAAGACATTCACAACCCTCATATCCACCCTTCATACCCTTCTCAACTGTCTGGAAGTTTCAGAAGGCTCTGATATTGTTGTTTTTTTTTTCAAGTAAGAGTCCTTAGAACAATTGTCATCAAAGAAATGTTCTTTTTCAGAGTGGTTGTAAGTCTGTCAGTATATGCGATCTTTGGACTGCTTGAATCCTTCTGAAACTTGGAGAGCTGGCCCCTTTTCAGTTACTGCTCTTGATTTTCTCACAATATTCTGACTCTTCCTTAGGGGGACAGTTAAGTATAACCTTCATCTTAAAGGTAATCCTCAGGTTGATTATGATTACAAAAAGATGGGTATAACCCAAAGCTTCTTGCAAGGATAAGATCATAAGATATTGACCTTACAAAGAGCTTTTTGAAAGCTGCCATCTGTTGCCAGGGAAGGGTGAATCAATGGTTTATTTACAAATCCATTCATCAAGACTATATTGAGCGGCTTCTGTGGGGTGGCGGTATGCTAATCTTGAAAATCAACTGACCCTGACATCATCACTCAACAGGCCAAGACTGAGCAATGCCAGGTACTGAAAGGACTCAGGCAGTATCTTGGCCATTTGGGTCCAACCGTCAGAACACCGGTGCCCCTCCCAGCTCAGGAGTCATTTTTTACTTTTATTTACATTTTTTTGTTTGTTTATTTGGAGACAGGGTCTCATGTATCTTAGGCTGGCTTCAGACTCCCTGGATAGCCAAGGACGATTTTTAATTTGTGATCAGAGAGCTTCTACCTCCTGAGAGCTATAGTTACAGAACTGTATATGCACCAGCCTCCTAGTACAAGTGGTGGGGATTGAGCCCAAGGTCTTAGTGTTTTACATAATCACTCTACTAAATGAGACACATCCTCTTCCCTGAGCTCAGAACTCTTTAGAGACATCAGAAAAGGTTCCTTGCCCTTAAGAAAACTCTATAACTCATTGGAGACTGTATGAAAACTTATTTTCTTGTTGTCATCCTAGAGTTGACAGGTGAGCCACACTTTCATTTCTTTGTACAGAAAGTTATTGAAAAAAGAAAAAAATTGAAATAAAATTTCATTTACTGTACTTCAACTTCTTTATAGAGATAGGCAACCCAGGATCAAAATCAAGAACTTCTAATGAAATAAATCTGAAAAAATTCTTTAACTTCACCATGCTTCATTTTAATTAGTCAATAAATGAATTAATTTTGAGATGGGCTCTGAATCTGTACATCAAGATGGTGTAGAAGTCATTATGAAGCCTAGGCTAGTCATGGTCTCAACATTTTAAGGCATCAGAATTCAAAGTGGTAGAATGACAGGAGTCTCCCCACATCCAGTTTAATTTCCCCAGAGGATGGAACATGGAGGATGGGGCTGCAGACATTGCTCAGTGCTTAAGAGCACCCTATTCTGGCAGAGGACTCCAAATTGAGCTCTTAGCACCCATGTGCATGGTTTAACTCTAAAGCTACAGCTTCAGGAGATCCAGTGCCTCTAATTTCCCTAGGCAACAGTACTCAAGCATGAATACACACATAATTAAAGAGAAAATAGTTTTTGAAAAGAAACCGATATGAGACTACTAGTAATAAGGTTTCAGAGCTTTTTCTTTGTGACAGTTAAACACGTGAATTCAAGTTCAGTGGTTAAGACAAGGCTAGAAATGATGGTTTTTGCATGTGTATGTGTACATGTACCTTTGGATGAGTGTGAAGGTGCATACATGTGCAGGTTGTGTGAGTGCATGTGCATGCATGTGTGTGTGTGTGTGTGTGTGTGTGTGTGTGTGTGTGTCTTGTCTGTCTGATATGCATGGGGAGGTCAAAGATTGGTTCTGGGTGTCTGTCTCAATTGCTTCCACTTTATTTAGGGAAACAGGTCTCTTGCTGAACTCAGGTCTCACCCATTTGGCCCATATTCCTACATGGTGTGACAGCCAGGCTCTCAAGTCATAGGTCACATCTGAGGTGGTCACATAACCTTCCAGACAGGTTGTCGCTAACCTAACAAAGGGTCAGGATGTTGTTTTGCTCCTTCTCAGTAATTTGGAGGATGCCTGAATAGAGATGCTAATTCAAGCTAGTTCGACTTGAACTAGCTTACTGACCAGGAAGACCTGACAGAGGAGACACAGATGTGGATGTGACTAAAAGCCATTAACCTGGTTACCTAGGAAACAGAATGCTAATGAATTTCCCCTTCAGCTTATGTTTTGATGTATAAGGCTGTTTGGAGAATAAAAGAGAGGAATACTTCAGGATGTGAACTCAGGGTTTCATGAGGAATCACTGAGAATATCCCTCCCGATAAAGCTATGTGAGTTGTGTCTTTATTCCTGTGCCTCCACGCTTGTTCAGAGAGAGATAGTTTATGTTGGGGTCTGGTTCAGAGAGATAATTTATGGTCAGGGCTGCCACCGGACCCCAACAAAATGACGTCCAACATGGGGCTGATCCATGAACCCCCCAAAACATGGAAGAAGTACAAAGGAGAATGTGAGGAACCTGTGAGAAAAAAATTTTACCACAGGTGGATTTGTATTTAACGCTCAGAAATAGAGAATAAGCTTTAAAAAAAAATGTAGAGAAGTGGGACAAAATTTAAATTGGGAGTAAAAGTTTGTAAATATAAGTTATATATACATAGCATAAGGAAAGAAAGTGAAGCAGAAACAATGGCAGAGATATTTAAAATCTGTAAGTGTAAAAGTCGCAGAATTATAACTTTTATCGCTTTCTAAATGGATAAAAAAAATACAGCATTTGGCCCCAAAATCACCTAGGTTACTGCTGAGCTTGAGACACCACATGCAGACAGTAGCCAGCTAAATCTAACCCACCTGCAGGGAAAGCAAGCAGGAGACAGAGTAAGTTTAGAGAACAAATTTAACCCCACACAGTCAGCCCAAAGTCAAACAAACTTTTGACTTTGTCCCAGTAAAACAAAGGAGAGTATTCAGGAACTATCTTAATTTTATGATTACAAGTTAAAATAAAAAAGAAAGTTAAAAATCGGTGCAGCTATGCCCACCAAAGCTTGTGAAAGCAGCAGACAGGCAGACGGAGCCTGTGTCCTACCCATTGCCATGTAGCACAGCTTCAGCATAGAAAGGCAGGTATGCTGAAAGGTGGCCTCAGGAAACTGCAGCTTCAGGACAGTTAAAAATAAATAAGCAGGTAAAATATTCTTCTTTTCCATTTCACAAATTTTGCTTCTTTGTCAAACATCTTTAATTTGTAGGTGTGTGGATTGATATCAGTTCCATTGATACCTATATCTGTTTTTATTCTGGTTTCAGTACTAAGGCTCTGTAATGAA